TTGGCTGTAATAAGAGTACAATAAATTAAGAGGTTCACCTTGCTTTCTCTGTTTCTGTAGAAGTCGTGGCGCTCATGGATTCCTAAGGTGAAAGACTCAATAAACGCCGTGTATAACTAAAGAGTTGTTATTGTTGCAATTTGCATTACCTGAAAATTCAACAACCGAAGCACAAATCCATGATTTTTATCTAAGCAAGAGCCGTACGGTAATGAAATCAATGGATATGGGTGGGGGTGGAGGTGGGGGGGTGGGGGGTTATTTTGATTGGGGCTCTCAATTATATTTACTTTAACCTTATTTAAACACCTGAAAAGCTTTGTAAGCCGAAAGAGTTGATAGAAATAGTTGCCGTTTCCACATCTGTAGCAAGAGTGTGCGTTATCCAATAAAACTATCACGAAGAAAAAGACAAAGTATAGAAAGTTGTGATACTGTCTTGTTCATTGATTATCCAAGGCTCTTTTTATTTTACCACTTTCAATGATGTAATCTCTGTTTATTTTGTTGTTATGCCGATAACAAAGGTTCTAGAGGGCATTTTTTAGACTTCCGTACGTGTTTAACATTCAAGTTAACGTTAAAATTGGCATTTTCTATTATCTCTGAGCAATTATTTCTAATTCAAACATCGCAACACGTGTGTAAGTAAGTATTCACATAGTCTTTTGCTGCCTTATTGCTTTAGGCGGATGTTCAAGCATGAGCTCACATGGCTCCCGCGCTTTTCGAGGGTTCAGTGAATTTGAATAGCGTCAAATCTTATCACGCTGTAGGTGGATTTGTTGGAATCAATTAAAAATGTTACAAATTATCACTGTATTCGCTTCTCGGATTGAAATTACTGAGTTGTTATGGAAACTTAATATTTTGGCTCTAGTATTTTCTGGGATTTTTTCCAGTGGTATTAAAATTCATAGATCCGGTTGTTAAAAAGTGCTAAGTGAACCCGTGTCCTTGCGATTTGTCTTCCTTGTTGTTATGACGGCTTGAAAAAAACCTTCGTTGTAAATCACGACAAATAGCAATTGACGTTAACTTCGTTGTTGATACGAACATTTCCGAGTTATGTATATCTGCTTGTTTTGCGTGTGTGTGTGTTTTGTTTTTCTTTTTCTATTTTTGGATACGAAAAAATCAAAATAAATTGACAAATTCGACAGCAGTTCATAATATTACTGCATGCTTCAGCCCGGTTGGCACAGACAACAGCTGAGAAAGTGCTTTACTGGTGTGCAAAGGCCTTCATTATTATAAATCAGTTCTTGTTTACTCTTTCTTCTTAATTTTTTGGTTATCATGGTTGTTATACCAACTAAAAGACATTCTTGATGGTTAATATTCTAAATATATCTGCAACTCTATTAAATGAGTCTTGTTTACATGAATTCAGCAGACTGTAGAGGCCCTGTGGTATCTGCGAAATCTAGGTTATGCATGGTTGTGCGACAAGGGTCAGCGGCTTTGAATGACGAAGTTCACTCATTGTGTATACCTGCATAATGTATGCATATACAAGGATCTCACTCAATCTATACTTTTTCATTGATGTTTTAGTCAATTTAACACTTAGCAAAGTCACCCTTCTGTACTATTGATCTAAAATTCATTTTTCATCTTTGGAGGTTTTTGCGCTGCATTTTGAACTGCAGTTACAATATCTTTAGCCGTGTTGTTACGTAAACCACGCGTTCCATTTGTAATTTATTTTTCTCGATATTTGTTTCCTGTACTTTAATTCGGAAAATTTTCAATCAAAATTATCTTTTTTAATTTTTTTATTGTGTAGCTTGCCTGTTGCTAGTTTGCCGCTTCCTGTAAATTCTCTGATGTTGCTATGACCGCAGAGAAAAAGATTTAGCTATTTTCAGTTGCTAAAGGTGTTTAACTGTGGAATAAGATTAAATATTTATAAACGCTCGTGTCACCAGCGATGGCGCCAGGTTGGTGAAAGCAAAGTGACCTGTTTGCAAAGTTGCAGCTATGGGAATAACTTGGCAATTTTTCCGGTGGCCACGTTGGAGGTCATTGTATTTCTTTTTTAAGTGTGGTCTTGAATGAAAGGTTATTGGCAGTATGTTTCTTCGATGATGTTCAGTTTTATTCGTAACTGAAATAAAGCTGTTTTGCTAAATTTCGGCAGAAGCAGAAAACAATACCTTTGCATTTGTTGTCTAGTTGTCTTGTCTGCAGTGGTTGCTCCTTTCTGTTTAACTTAACTGACTTATCGTCAGCTTTACAGGCGGTTATTGCGAAACACAATGACTGTTTCGATAGCTAGGAACACTGATTTAGCTTGTCACCATTTAGCCCGGAAATAGGACATAGGGGCAGTCCTTCCTCGGTCCTGTTTCCATGACTGAGGCAAAAAACTGCTTCTTTTTTTCTGTCTCCATAGAGTTGAAGACTGATTTTATTGTGATGCCGGGCGGGCACTTCGAATTAGCTTGTTAAATTGTTCTTGATCGACGTTATGTTACCAATTGTTTCCATTTCTGCAGATTTCTCAGGACAACCGTTTTATCGTTACCAAGTAGCAGAGCGTCTCTGTTCCGCAGTTTTGAAAATTATTTGAATTAAAACCCTTAAGTTGACCGATTGTAAATTCATTTGCCTTTTTCATGGCCAACAAATCGCAAGCAGCGCACGAAAATCGGTTTTGTTCTCGCTTAAGCGGGAAGGTAGTTATGTTTCTTCAATGGTGCTGGCCTGTACAATTCTTTTGCTGCATCAACACACAGGAGAGATCGATATAATCATGGTGAGTCCGAATGCAATCTCTTTAAACGTTGACGGTTGCCTTTAGTAGACTTCGTTGTGGTAAACTGATGTGTCACTGGAGTTCGTTAATTTACCAGGTCGAACTGTATCGGAAAGTTATACTAACTGTAGATGACAGCGCTTTAGGTCCAGTTGATGGCAATACCTATGCATCAAAAACCATGAATTTTGAGTACACATAACAGTTTTTATAATGCTTGATACGTTGACTTTATGACCAAAACGACAGCTTTTCTATTTTCTTGCTTATTGACAGCTCAGGGTTATCAACTGAAAAAAACCTTTTATTTTTAGTTCTTCTTTACAGCACCAACTATGTTACGTTATGTTTTGCCTTTTTCATGGGTTTTCACGGAACACTGACCTTTTCTTTGTAAAAAAAAGTCTCACTGCAATATTAGCGTCAACCATTTATAACAGTAGATAAAATCCAATAGACTATTCCGATAATAGCTAAGGGGAAAGAATTCCACGAGACTTTTGGAGGTCTGTTAGTGGAATATCCTAACCATTCAAATGAGATATGCTGAGCTCTACTGCAACTGAGGTGCTTCGCACCATGTTTTTCTTAGGTTGCTCAAACCTTTGAATTTGTAAGCTGAAATCTTCCAGAATCATTCGCATTCGGATGAAAGTTGTCGATTTATATTTTGCTGTTAATGTAACCCTTAAAACTATGACCATGTTTTTCTGTGGAACCATTTTATTATGATGTACAAGGTGCTTTTAATTTTTGCGTCAAAGTCATAACGAAATCCTTCAGTGTCTCCGGTGATACTGCGGTTTATTATGCTGTGAAAGGTGCTTTCTAACTTTTAAGGTGGTGGATGAAATACTGAAGTGTGACCATTCAAATGAAAGCTACTGAACAGTACTTTCCTATGGTACAGTTTACTGTGCTATACAAGGTTGTTCTAAATTTCATTAGTCGGTGAATGGAATCCTAAAGTCTTACCATTCAAATGAAACCTACTAAGAAGTACTTTTCTGTTGTAATGTATATTATACTGTACAAGGTGGCTCAAAATTTTAAGTAAGTGGATGAAATCTTAAAGTTCCAGCATTCATATGAAAAATGAGCAATACTTCCTCGTGGCGCATGACTATAAAGTGTACTCATTACAAGATGGTTAACTTGTTCTTACTCAGCTTTTGAGGGTCTGGATGAAATCCTGCATAAAAAGGCTTCAAACAGTACTTTTTAGTGGCGTGGTCTAGCTGTTGAAATTTTAAAATGTCTACGTTGTCAGAAATACTTTTTTCATTCGATCTCAGAAAACACGTGCTTCATAAAAATGTTGTATTGAATTTATATTTATTAAAGTACAATCATTTTTTAAAGACTCTTTAAAGGGTGAAGCAGCACTTTCATTTCAATTCCTTCATCATTTATTCTCATTTATGAACCAATGACCGAAGTTAGAATGAAGAAACAAACTGTGATAGATTGGGGATTGTTTATATATTTACAAATTCAGTTTGATCGCTTTCGTTTCCAAGTGTATATGTATGGCTGTGTTATCCTGTGGCCATGTTAACGTGACAAATCGGTCAAAAGACCGGAAGTTCTGCAATTTTTCCGCCGGCCAAAAAGTAATAATGACATTTAATCACGTCAATTGATGACCCCACTGCCGAATACTACGTCAAGCTGCTTGTTAGATTTCGGGGTTGAGTTGGTTTACGTGGACGTCTTGCCCCTTGTTCCGCCAGCTATTAATAGTCAATCTTGTGGAACATGTAAACACTGGATCATGTTTTTGACTTTCGCTATTCGGGTCAAGCGTTAGCACCAAAAAAAGCGTCAGACCTGGAGAAAATTGGTACTAAAAGCTGTTCTTTGGACAAGGTGAAATAATATTATTACAAATTGATCATTTTCCGTCACAAAATCTTTGATTAAATGAATCATGTATTTCTTAGTGTCTTGATTGAGTTATCAAAAAGGAAAAAAAAAAACAGCGGAGTTTGGAGAATTTTCAAGCCCAAATGAAAGGCATTTTGTGTGAAGTAATAGCACAGGGCTTCTGAATTCGTGTAAGTTCGATATTGTCGAAATTATCGCGGTCCGTTTCACATCGTTCACAACTTTCCGGCCACGAGGGTTGCTACGTACGCCACTTATCCCGAGCAACAGTATGCTAATTCACAGGTTCATAACATCGTTCGCACCCCAGTTTGTTATCATTTGGACGTCGATGTTATAGCATGTGGTAACAATGGCCATATTGGAAGAGTTACTTGACCTCAGCTTCGATTGTTACACGATGAATCCCCCAATTCGAGCCTTCAAAAGGGAAGAAAAGCAAGCTTGTATGTTCGACATGGAAAATTTTATAGATTTGTCTTCTAATATTTCTTCCGGTTTGGCTAAGCAAGAATATTATGAGCCCTCGATCTGCAGGTTGCCTGCTTACAATTACAGTCAGCCCTTCTTTCCAGCAGTTCCTCGACTCTCGCATTTTGGTCCTCATTTAAACCGTAAGTTCCTTTTGTTTTACTTTTATACCTTTCTCTCTCTCTTTTTTTTAATCGCGTAAGAAGAGAAATATTGTGGCAAAAGTCTTTAAGTGACTTGCTCCTAGTTATTTCCAGCCACTCTAGCGAATTGCAAGCCCGCGCAAGTGATTGAAATTTCCAGAACTTGTGAAAACTAAGTTGTTTATTCAGCGCTTTTGTTTGCGTTGTTTTATTTTTCTCTTAGCTACGTCATTTTCTTTTGACTGTTTTAAATCTCCTTCGTTTTTAAAAATGAAGACAAGTTCGTTGAACTCGGAAATTGAAGATAGGTTAAAATATAGTGAGATATTGTTGTTGATCTCAATGGCGTTGTAGCTCTTCCTTGATACAATTACGTTATGTTCAAGTATGTCAAAAGCATCTTCTGAGCTTTAAAAGATAACTGTCTTAGTGCGTTTTGACTGTCTGTACAATGCAAGCTGTTCACATTAATTATTTACAATGGTTTTGACGAAAATGCTGTTTCCAACTTTAGCTCTTTGACAGTGATTCCATGTAAAATCGGCGTTAAAACCTAAAATATAATATTTTGTAGTTCCTTTTAATCTAGTTACCTGGATCAAAGCTCTTTTAACTACATATTTGGCAGTTAATCGCATTTTAAACGTTAACGCTGATAATTTTCTGCAACCGCCGTAAATAAACTCTTCGAACTTCAATAACCCTCGTCGAGGCTTCAAAAAAAATAAAACAACAGGTGTCCAAAAAAGATGGTGCTTCTGAAACTTTTGCAATACTTTCATTTGTTGTTTGCAATTTGTTTAACTAAATCCTGATTTCAGTTTCCTTTCCTAGACTCCGTCGCAAAGACTACGTCATTCATTGTTGTTTTCGGAATATTTTGAAACACCTTTTAACAGATCGCCTTTTATTTCGGGGAACCCAACCGGACGAATCCGTTATATAGCTAAAATGATATGGATGTTTTGGGTCTATATTTCAACAGAAGTAAATTTTGTGATTTCTTTTCTTAACTGCGGAAGTTTTAGCTCATCGAGAAGGTATCTAGGATGATATTTTCCATCCATCAATGAAACGGTGTTCACCTTTCCAATATTAGTTATTTTTTAAGTGACAGAGGCTAGTATTTTGTGTGGGCGAGTTAGTTCCTTCCGCCGATACAAGATGCCAATAGTCTGATTATGAACGGACATGCCTGAAGCCCTAGGCAAAACGACCTATATGGTGGACAGAAAAGGTTGAATTGTCCTTAAAGCGCATTAGCGACAAAGCGTCTCTTCCGAATATAACAAATGATTCACCCTTCAAGTGTGCAAGCAAAAGATGGTCACGTCTCTTTAGAAATAACCTTTTTCTCTTTGCAAGAATACTGAATGCTTCTCTGTGGTAGAGAACTTAGCTTTTGTGAAAAAGTGAAATATTGTTTCCTTTTTGACAATACTTCATCATGTTACTAGTTACAGATAAGGACGATGTCATCGTGACCCGCACAAGACCATGCAGCCCAAGTGTGTCGTATAGAGGAAAACAAAACTTAAACAAGTTAAATCTAGTGATCAGGGTGACACCACATTACAAAAACTAGATTACGCGCCGCATAACTAACTCGGCCTTTTTTAGTTTCACGGATAGAGGGCTCTAGTTTTTTTTTTTAGGTAATTAGTTGCGAATTCTGTGAGACAGTCTGACGCTCAATGTATTTGCCGCTTGCCGAGGTGAAATACCACGGGTCAATTTAATAAAACTGTTACACGTACACGTGTAAAAGTTTTATTAAATTGACCCAAGATGATTAGCCTGTGTACAGCCGCCCCAAGGGGCGGCTGTACACAGGCTAAAGAGATAGGCTATTTAACAATTATTCCACGAGTGCGCGTTGAACAAGAGATGTTAGACAGCCAACTCGGCACGTTTGTAAAAACAACCAATTTTCAGCTTTTTTTTAATTTTGAGCAGACGCGTACAGTTACCATACTTGGAGAGCATGGTATAATGCATGGCTCATATACCATGATGGCTAAGGCAATCAGAGCTCTAGAGTTGCATTATCCAATGATTCAGGTTTTAATAAAAAGTAGTATAGCACGCCATCATGTAAAGGCATTGTAGCTAGGGTAACACCTGTGATTAAGGGCACCTGCGAGCAAGGAAACAGCTACAACTCACAAGAAACAGCAAGAAAATATCAGGAATAATTGGTCTAACAGACAAATGAGGAGTCATAAAAAGTGTCCGCATTACCGGGAGGAGCCACTTTTTTGGAGGTTATAATAAAAAAAAAAACGGATCCAATGTTCTATAGTGAGAACAATGGCAGGCGCATTGCCAAAGGAAGGGGCAATATACCCTGCATTGTATTACAGAAAAAATGAAAACACGGCCATTATTGAAGAAAAAAAACCCGCTAAATTGCAGCCTAAAATAGAATGGAAGCAGTTGAAACTGAAGGGTACATTCAAATGGGTTCCCTTTGCGCTTGAATGACTTCTTCTCCCCGGTACGACTTCTCATGTAGTGTTCTTTTCAGTCTACACTAAAACGACTTCTCTTTGTTCTCAGTTGGGCCTGTCCCTAACACAAAATAGTTTCTCCCATAAAAATAACAAGGCATAGAGTGTGAATGGCAAAAAATAGTCTTTTTTGAAGTCTTTCAAGATTTCATTTTGCATGCATTTTGCACCTAAATGGATTTTCTTTGTTCTGTAATGCGTTCCTGGTAGAAATGGGGCTCTGCTTTAAGGTAAAGAAAGTAATGTATAGTGTGAACTGATCGTAGTAAAGTAAGGCTTTTAAACAGCACGCAATTTTTCTTGACTTATAACAAAAAACCAAAGAAGTATAGAGAGTGAACATTGTAGCAAAATAAGGCTTGTTCGACGTCATGTAAGTTTCCCTTTTGCACTTACATATCTTTGTTCTTAAATGGGTGTCTGACACAAAAGAGTCCATTTTCTTAAATTAAAAAAAAGTATACTGTGAACATCGCGTACGAGCATGGTAGTAAAATCAGCAATTGGTTTGCAGCAATGTCACTTTCAATACTAGCTATAGTAAAGAACAGAATGATAGATTTCATCATAGGCGTTGTAAAAAAGTAATGAGATCGAAGTTGAAGATGTCGATTTTCATGGGCTGGAAAAAAAGTTGAAGAAAATGTGACACGTGAAAACTCATAGAGAAGACAGAGATTTTTGTTTCACTCCGGAAAATCCTTTCTTCAGTAGGAAGAGAAAATACTAACCACGTTTGATTACAAACTTTTAGGGAAAATCTGACACAGGCAAAGTGTTCAAAGCGTCTTGACACTCACTGATGATCCGTCGATATAGAAGCGACGCATTTGATATGTGAAAAGGGCATTGAAATGTAGTTTTATCAGATTGTTCACTAAAAAACGGTAAAAATCCTCAAGGCACTTCCCCTAAAGCCGAATTTAAGTAGCACTTAAGTACTCATCCTTATAATCAGTCTAGAATCCTAAACAGCAGCTGCTCAGGAGAAAAAGCCTGTGGATGTTTTGGACTTGCGAGAACAAAGAGAATCTAACACTTAAAAAGCGTTAACATTTATTTAAGAATTACACATGTTGAAGAATTCTTTCAGTGGTTGAGGACTAAAAATTAGTTATTATATTTCAAACCGTCACTTATGCCTGCATAATTCAATGCTGGTGCAGTGTGGAATTCCTGTAAATTAAAACACTTTTACAACTGACAAATGAAAGGAGTGTCATAGTTTAACGAAGCGACTGCCTTTTGAGAACTTCCCCATTTTTTGTGTTAGCTGCACTAGGATTATAAACCTTCATCCTCTGTTGCAGAAAAGAAGGTTCAGAAGTCAGCACAGTCTCCAGATTTCGCTCATCACATCAACAATCGATCAAACTTGAAGATGTCAGTCCACTTACTTTCTACCCGTCCTTAGTGAGAGAAACACTAGCTTACAGTTACACAACTTTTTTCAAGAAGAGTTCTCACTTCCCATTTATATATTTCCACCGACAAAAACTGGTTAGATTTTCATTTAATGCTTATTCCTCTTGCCTCCCTTCAGGATCTCATTCACACGCTTAGGTAAAAGTGAAACCCAGTTTTGAACAGCATTTAAACAGCACTCCCAAAATACAGTTTATAAATTCACCTTTTACTTTGGTCAAGAGACGTTGGTACACCGTCAAGTAAACATCGCTAAGTCAGTACTGTTGAAGCCTACCAAGAGGAATTCACTGATTTCAATGGTCACACTTAAAAGACTGCATGCAGGGTGCAGACTTAAACGTCTTAAAAATAACTGACTTCTACAGCATGATAAACAGTACCACCAGAAAGTACTGCTCAGTAGCTTTCATTTGAATGGACACACTTACGGATTTCATCCACAGACTCAAAAGTTAGAACCACCTTGTACAGCATAGTAAACAGTACCCAAGAAAGTACTGTTCAGTAGCGTTCATTTGAATTGTTACACGTTAGGATTCCACAGCATAGACTCAAAAGTTAGAACCACCTTGCACAGCGAAATGCTCGTACTACAAGAAAGTACAGCTCTGTAGCTTTCGTTTGAATGGTCATATAACTTTGGGATTCCATTGACGACTCTGAAGTTAGAACCACCTTGTACAACATAATGCCGTACCTCAAGAAAGTACCGCTCAATAGGTTTCATTTGAATGGACACACTTGCTAGGATCTCATCCACAGACCTCATTGCACAGCATAGTGAACAGGACCACAGGAAAGTACCGCTCAGTAACTTTCATTTTAATGGCCGCTTTTTAGGATTGTATCCAGACTCAAAAGTTAGAACTGCCTTGTACAGTGTAATAAACAGTACTACAAAAAAGTACTGCTCACATCGAAAGTAAAATTACCGGCGAAAAATCCTAACATAGGTCTGAGTTTTCAATCTTGACGGAACATGTCACATTATTTGTCATGATGTTTTTTCATGACGAGTCATCGAAAGTAAACTTACCAGTGTGAATAGGATTTCATTCACAGACTCAACAGTTAGAACCACCTTCTGCAGTAGTATAAACAGTGCCTTAGGAAATTACTGCTTAGTAGCTTTCATTGAACTTTTTCACACTTTAGGATTTCATCCACAGACTCAAAAGTAAAACCAACTTGTTCAGTATAAACAGTACCACTTGAAAGTACTGCTCAGTAGCTTTCATTTGAATGGTCACACTTTAGGATTTCATCCACAGACTCAACAGTTAGAACCACCTTCTGCAGTATAAACAGTGCCTCAGGAAATTACTGCTTAGTAGCCTTCATTGAACTTTGTTCACACTTTAGGATTTCATCCACAGACTTAAAAGTTAAAACCAACTTGTTCAGTATAAACAGTACCACAGGAAAGTACTGCTCAGTAGCTTTCATTCGAATGGTCACACTTTAGGATTTCATCCACAGACTCAAAAGTTAAAACCAACTTGTTCAGTATAAACAGTACCACAGGAAAGTGCTGTTCAGGAGCTTTTATTTGAATGGTCGCGCTTAACGATTTCGTGCACAGATTCAAGAGCTTAATGAATTGGCATGTTTCTATGGTATCTTAATCAAGATCACCCGCAAATAAGCAAATAACCAGCAGCAGCTTTCAAGACTGTAGCAACCAGTCAGGAAAAATTGGGCTAAGCTACGGGTGGCGAAGTTATAAAAAGATCCATACAACTGTTCATAGCCAGAGTCAATCCAGTTAAATTAAAAGTTGGAGTCACCTTGGACAGCGTAATAAACAGCGCCTGAAGATAGTACTGTCAAGTAGCTTTCAGTTAAACATTACTTAGGGTTTCATCCATTTAATTTTGAGAAACACTTTCGGAAAGTACTGTTCAAGAACATGTATTTGGCGTGTGTATTATAGTTTTAATTTTCCATTGGCTCGAAAAGTGGCCTTCCTTCTATCGGTACCACTGGAGTGAACACTGACAGTGCAGCTACAGCTAATGATCAACTGCACCAAGATGTATCATACTTGCCAAAGAGCTTTTTTATGTTATGCTTTTTTATCAATGTTCTTAGTTCAAATGTTTGTACATGCTAGGAAGTTAGAAGCGGCTTGAATGTAATGATAAAAAGTTTAAATAAAAAAGTCTCAGTGCTCAATAACTTAAGTTTGATCCACAGACTAAAAGTGAGAACGCCATTCTTCATAGTAACTGAAACTTCTTTAAATAAGGCAATGCATGTCAAAAATGAGGCAAAGTAGCTCCGGAAACTAGAAGGGTTTTATTCCATAAGCTGTATGCAGGCAATTGTGTCGTAGCAGTGCACAACGGGTTGGTGTGTGACGAGGTGTGAAACGGACGAACGAAGCGGACAGATGCAATGCAGATCACTGAATTCTTTTCAAAGACATGTCTTGAGAAAATTTTATAATTTTTGAACTTCGAAACTCGGTGAAAACTGCCGACCAAATTTCCGTGAGACGCATACTGTAAAATTCCGAAAATAAGCCCCTCCATGTATGAGCCCCTCCAAATATGAGCCCCCCAAAGCGGTAACACAAAAAACCCTCCGTTAAATCGCCTCTCCAAATATAAGCCCCCCGGGGGGGTTTGTACTTGGAAAATTACCCTCAAATACAAAGTGAAACAAAGCAAAAACGGTAAATTTATTTCCAACCATAAGGCTAGCCCAATCGATTTTGAAACGCAACTTTCCCTCCGTAGATAAGCCCCTCCAAAAATAAGCCCCTTAAAAGGGGCTTTTGAAAAATATAAGCCCCTGGGCTTATTTTCGGAATTTTTCGGTATTAATTGAAAGACAGAAGCTTATCCTGTTTAAGAGTCAAACGAAAACCGGTGCACGATAAAATTTTGTTCGTGTTCCGCTGTACCAGAAAAAAATGCCAAGATGTCTTTATACAGAGTGAATTTGGTTCTAATATTTCGTTCTTAGTACAGATTTTCGTCTTGCTTTTTAGTTCATGGAAATTATTTTTTCAAACAGTAGACATTCTTACAAACAGTTGCTTAGCATCCTCCAAATTGGACTAACGAGCGAGAAGGGGCCGGGGTGTGAATCAGGGGCGGATCCAGAAAATTCAAAAAGGGGCGATGGGACACTGGCCAGTTATTAAGATACTACTTATTTTACTAAGAATTGCGTGAGAATTCTTTTGAAAAAAATACAGAATTTTACAGAAAAAAGGGTGGTCGCGGTCCACTAATTCCGCAAATGGAATGTGATTCTCAGAACAATTTGTCTTTATCTGTGAAATCTGTCTTTTCCTGCTTCGGTATAAGCAACGGGAAAAGCGAGAACTGGAAAGCAACTGGCTTGGAAACAGTTCGAAAGGCCTTCTCGCTTGCCTTCTAGTACCGTGGCAGTGAAATCTAAAGACGATTCGACAATGAGCTTCAATGTGAGTTGGGAGTTATCTTCAGAAGAGAAAATACTGGTTGAACAGTGAATGTGAAGCCAGACGGAACCTGTCCAAAACCTTTGCAGCGTTTGTATTGTAAATACAGAATATCTTATGAACGCTTTTTTATGCAAATAATCAGACGGATCTACATACAATTTTCTTGTAGTTTCCTTGCAATAAATTACCCTTTTTTGTGGTTAATCCACGACAATTAACGAGAATTAATACTCGCGAAAAAGAGAATGCGAAAATTGAGCACACGTTAGGTAGCACAGGTTAGGTGGCTTATTGATCTTTTTGTAAAATCATTCAGGTTCCTGTTACGCGAAGTGTGTGCATGTTTCTTCAATTCTTGCGATGTTAAGAAGTTTTAGATCGTTCATTTTCCCCCTGATATTTGAAACATTTGATGCCTTTTTTGATTAATTGTCTGGTTAAAGTGTTGAAAATTCTCTTCCTCCTGAACGCGATCCTCCATTCCTTGAACCAGGGTTTTTGAGCATTGTTGTGGAAAACAATGTCAACTTGTAGTAAAATTGCTTTACTGTGTAGTAAGGGAAATCGAAGAGAATTTTGGGTTTTTTTAGTATTTGCATGCATACGATGCCTGATAGTCGTTGTGTGACCAAAATCTTTCGGCAAATAGTTGCTCTTCTTGATCCCAAAACAAAAGCCGCCAACATCGAGAGACGCCATGTACAGTGCATTCTTTGAATAATTTATTTCTAACCCCAAAAATATAGATCCAGATCAGGACTGATATGTTGATTTTTTTCACATTGTTCTATAGTTTTTTTTTAAATCTTCAAACGTATCAAATTTATCACTTGAAATTGAGCGAGTTTTCAAAGTTTTAAAAAAGCTTGTTCTTTGCTCTTTGATTTCCAACGGAAGGTGGTGTTTCACGCGGGGGGCTGGCTAGGCGTTATCGCTTTATCGTTTCTGGTTATTTCAGTTTTATCACGATGTGCGGGTTACAAAAAAACCTGACAATAGAATAAGGCCTTTTTTCCAAAGTTATTTTTAAATTTTGTCTGATGAATTTTCATCCGGGTCCAATTTTTTAACAAAAAAGAGAAAACAAAAGAATTTATGTTTATCTTTTACTCGAAGCCCTGCAACAAGTATGGGCCGCCCCTGAGTAAAAGGAAAGAACGAGGCGGTTGTCGTGGCGAAGTGAAAGGCGGTTGCGAAGTTTGCTGTGTTGTCAGCAACAACGAGGTAAAATTCTTCTCCAAGGCGACAGTGTAGTCAAGGTTACGAAGTCCTTCCCAGCATTTCCTTCGAGTAATTATTCCACAACCGGTATGGTAGAACTTGAAGTACAATTCCCTGTATATTTCTGAGTATTTTGCTGTTAATTTCACTCAATGTTTCCACCTTCGATTTGTTGCCTTTCACGCGCGCTTTTCGCGTTCTGATCTCAAGCTTTCTTTGTCATGACGATGAAGGGAAATTTAGTTTTTCTACTGCCTCTACTTGTACCGATTGAGCGTTGTTGTGTAGCTTTGGTTCTCTGTTTTTCTGCGTGGAATAATATGTCTTGCGAAGGATCTGTGGAACGTTTATTGTTAACTGCGTAAGTGCTAAATTTTCGTGCGTAGTCGAACGAAGCAATACACGTTTCAAATGCGATCTTTGAAAGTCCATGTTGACATGTGCATTATCACAAATACAGAAACCTTTCTTGTTCGATTTCATTCTCAGATCGCCCAATGGCGACTCCACAGCCCCAGCCAAACTTTGTTCCACAGAACTTTGATTCTGGCGAAGTGAAATCCCAGGCTGCCCCGACCAGCAATGTGGTGTCTTCCCCGCAGGATTTCTCGCAACAAGTTGCGACTGCTACGGCTGCTATGTCGCATAGCATTGTAGCAGCCTCGCAAAATGTTTCCCCTTCACCGCACCAAACTAATTTGCCGGTGAATACTGTAACTTTAACCGTGCAGCCGTCACAGATACAGACTCCTCAAGGAACTATGCAACCAACACAGATAATCACAGCCAATGTAATAACCAGCGACGAATTTCAAGCAAAGGAAGGTATATTTACTTTCAAATCCGTGTAGCTAGATTGAAGTAAACCTTTGCACGATCAATTCCGCGTTTAAAATGCTTTATTTTACTTGTTGATACCGTATACAGGATATTTTAATGATTATTAAAAATGCTGTAGCCATTGATCGCGTTTACTTTTATTTTCATTTTGCTGTAGGTTTCCCAACAGCAGAAGTCCATTATGTGGAAGCTCCCTCAGATCACACGATGTACCCCAACGGAACAACGTAAGCTTTATTTCTTACATTGCAAGAAGTGTTACAGCATACTGAAAATATTGCTGTTTGTGTATCTGGTCGGTATCTCACTAACTAAGGGGCGATAGCACCATCGAATGCTTGCTTTGTTTGCCTGTAGAGACACGTTGTGAACACCTGGCATTTTCAATAAGAAAACACATGGAACTGAAAAATGATTGTCGGCGTTGAAGTTTTTGTTTTCCCTGAAGCAAAACCTTAACTTGCAGCAAACGAAAAACCTTAGTCCTGCAAAAGAATAATCGATCAATGACTACAAAGAAATTTTCAGCCACCCACAGACAGGCCAAGTTCACCTGAAGTTCAGCCAATTTGAAAATAACAGGATTATTATGGATACATACATTTTAATTAATGGTAATCAACCCCCATATATGGCAGAGCTTCAATACCTTCCAAACACAAAAACAAAATACTCAATTTATTCAGAATTTGGTTTTAAAAGCATCAAAAAATTATTGTGAGTAAAAGTTGGTCAAATTCTGGCTCTAACTGCTGTAATTATTTCTTGTGTACATCAAAAATGTGCGAACTCAGTTGTAAAACTTTGAAATATTGATTTAAATTATTGTGAAATTCTGCTTTGGCAATCACCATAGAAATTTCTAGTGGTCTTGGATATTGTTTTTCTCAACGTGATGTTAAAGCAATTTTTGCATTTAATTTAACTTTAAACTATTGGCTGAACCATGTTTATTTATACAAGTTGGATTAATATTCAAGATATAACATTTTTACCAAGAAACCAAACTTTTTTCCATGGCAACACATGAAGCCTTTGTGAATGAATCAATGAGAAGAAAAATCAATTTTGTGAGCTTGGTTGAGTAGAAAGATCAAAGCAGGCAGGGACAGACTTTGATCTCTGTTCTTAAACATTTTATGGCAAGTTTATCACACATGATGCCTGTCTCTACGTATATGTGAGTTTCAAATCATTTCTAACGTTTTCTAAACTGCTTTCCTAGCTTTTGGATCGTAGCTAGTAGTGTAAGAGTTTATTTATTCTCACGCGATATTGTTTTGGGGGTCATGCACAACGAAGGTTCCAAGTTTTTCTGTTTAGTTTCATGGCTATTTCATTAATAGTCAGTTCTAAAAAGCTTTCAAGGCAAAAAAACTTCACCTAAGGTATCGTCTTATTCAAAAGAGAGTTGTTTGGATCTGGTGTTTTAAAGGAAACATCTAGTTAAAAAGCAGCATGGGGACTCATTGTCTGATATTAATATAAGGCCTTTGATATATATTTCTCCTCTTTCTAAGTTGAAATCTCTATCTCAATCTTTAAGTTATTTTAGTGTAGTTGAAATATGAAATAGGGCCATTTTCTGAAAATTACTTTGAATTTGGTTGTTTCTCTGCAAAGCTGAATTCTAGAACATTTGCCAAGTTATTTTTATTAGTATTCTTTATTTCTATAGCCTTGAGTCATGTACTAAAATAATATAAACTTGCCCTTATATTTTGCCAAGTGAAAGTTATTGATGGCCACCCCAAAATAATTTCAGAAGGCAAAGCAAGGCAAAGCAATCAGTTGTTACCACAAAATTTGTGGTTCTCAGCTGTTTACACTGTAAATTGCATAATTCCCTCAATTAGTGTGGTTTAACCTCTCACGTACATGCATAATAATTTTGTGACCTTAATGTTAGGATGATTAATAATTTTAAAATCAGCATTTTAGTGAGAAGGATTTCACTTTTCACTGTTTCATCAAGATCGAGAAAACTTCCCAGAACTCTAGAACTCTTTAATTCTGAGATTGAGTTGTTGATTCTAAAATTATTTATTATTTAAAAGTTTTAGAGGGGGAGGAGATAAGGCACTATTTGTTACATGTGCATGTGCAGGTTTTGTTAGAGATAGTGGGCAATTATTCCGGGTTTAGTACTTTTTTCAAGCCCCACTTTGTGAACACCCGCTTAATATGGACACCTCATTATTTAGTGGTGTAACGATTAATCGAATTCTCGATTAATCGCGATTATGACCGTTTGGTTCAATTCACGATTCTTTGCTTCTACATTTCGATTTTGGTTTGATTTTTGCACACCTTTTCCAGGGTGCTCTCAGTGAGTTATTATATTGTAAAATCAGAATGTGGAACTCTTTAAAATGTGCGTTTTTGATTGACGAGCAAAGACAATAGCAGTTCGTGCGCCATTTTGTGTTGCCTGGTAAAAATGCTGTCCTTCAACCCCCCCTGAGAATTTCCAAATAAGGCAAACCATGTGCGACACGCTCTTTGTCAGGTTCTCAAACATGGTGATGAACCAAGCAACTGTGAATCCTCCTGTCCCTGTTACTATTCTCAAATTGAGGGTTTAGGGTTGCATGTTGTTACCATTACGCATTATGTTATAAGAATTAAGAAACATTTACATAATCGATAGCTTTATTAGTTTTTAGCTTTCCGTTATTAGTTTTAGTTTAGTTTAGCGTTCCTTATACTTAGCAATGTGGGGATAGTAATAATATAACTTTCAAAAGAAACAGGGAGCCCTTTTTCCAGAACGTAAAACTCTAAATTCAACCTGCTTAATGTGGACACCCCGTTAAAATGGACTTTTTAAGACCCCCTCAGTGTCCAAATTTATAGGGTTTAACTGTAGTAATGATCTGCTCTTTTTCAATGCTCAACCATCTGATTATGTTCAAATGCAACTACGGTTACCCACTATAACATGAGTACTTTCTTGAGGGAACTCAGAGGATCATTTTGTCTTTGGAAAACAAGAGAACCTGAAGTTTTCTTGCCTTACCAGATCATCAATAACTTAGAGCTTGCAAAAAGAGTATTCAAAATCCTTAATTGTTAGGGACTTTAGATAACCGATTGTGTAAGCTCCAAGTAATAATATTGTCCTTTAAATGGCCCTTGACCTTTGCATTGCTTGGATAACCCCATCAAAGATGAAGATGGCATGGTGATTCTTCATGTACAGTGTATCTTTAGCATTGAAAGGATATTAAATCCTGTGTCCTTAACTAGTACTTTGGGATAGGTCAATAGGGATGACTATACACTAGACCAACAGACAGACAAAACTGTGAAACAACTGATAAAACAGAGCTGTTTGATTTTTATTTTCCTTAGGGCAAATGCCTATCACTACAATGATGGCACAATGTTTGCTCAGCAAGCAACAACACCCTATCTTGATCCTGGGCAACAGAATTTCACCACTGTCACAACACCAGGGGCTGTCTCGAGTGGACAGACACTCCTCCAAGTTAACACTCCAAGTGGGCCGACCATGCAGGCTCAGAGACACCCAATAACCCACACAACCAGGGCTTCTCCTGCTACAGTAAGTGAAATGAAGGATAGAATTGATTTGCCCAATGTCAGCATGACTTGGATTCGGGTTTCCACATGTTAGCGGGGTTATGGATTCCTTGATTGAGCTAAATTAGGGATTCCATGGCCCTGGATTATGACAAAAATAAATTCCTGGATTTTGGATTCCACAAGCAAAAATTTCCCAGGTTATAGAATCTGAGTAACCTTACATGAGGTGTCACGTGTATGAATCTACTAATTTGCCCATCTGGTTTCTCCGTAGTCCCTCTGGTTGGAGGACCAAACCAGCCTTATAGAGCTGTCATGGCTTAAAATCCCATTAGAGTCTTCATTATTTCTGTCCCCCTATCGTGACATGAGGGGCATTAATTTTATATTCCTCAGTCAGTGTAAACCATCTTTGTGCCCCTTTCCCCACCCCTACCCTCTTGCGCTAACAGTCAGTAATTCCCCCTGGAGTATTTTTCTTCTACACACTTGATAGTCTCTTAAGAGAAATTAGAGGCTATGTAAACTTCTTCCTTATTTCTTTACATATCTTTAGTTCCAACTACAAACAATTTTATTTAATCGTCTCCTTTGCATCTTTCAGAAAAACTCATATAAAATTTTAACTAACTATTAATACTCTGTTATGTGTCATTGTTTATAAGCTAGCCATTATCAGGTTTGGAGAGCTCGAGAAAAATCATTATTCATGGTTTCGTTTGATGTGAGATTTTACTCTGCAGCATATGTAGCTCACTGGTCTTTTGTTTTTCTCAAGGTACAATGGCTGGTAGATAACTACGAGACAGCAGAAGGAGTAAGCTTACCACGTAGTACTCTGTACAACCATTATTTACAACACTGCCAAGCTAACAAGTTAGATGCCGTGAACGCTGCAAGCTTTGGAAAACTTATCAGATCTGTGTTCATGGGACTGAGGACCAGACGTCTGGGCACAAGGTAACCAGCCTGTGGTATTAAACTGCTATAGAAATAATAAATAAATTTTGTTATAAAAGAGGGGTGTTTCTTCAAAGGTTTGTGCTTAATCCAGGGCTCGTACAGGTCATGGAAAACCTGGAAAGTCATGGAATTGTATATTGGAAAGTCGTGGAAAGTAAAAGTTATGTTAGATAGATTAAATAATGCAGATGTTACAGCAAGGACAACGTAAGATAGAGGGGAGTATTTATGAATGACACAGATTTTAGTAGACACCATAGTTTGTGTCTGTTGAACTGAGTTAGGTCAGAAAGTACTCAAAGGAAAGTTTTGAAAATATTCTAAAGTGACAGCCAACCCTAAGGCCATTGAAACCTTCAAAAGGTCATGGAAAAAGTTATGGAAAGTCATGGAATTTGAGAGCTGAAAAGAGTACGAACCTTGTTATTCGCGATTACTACTCAAGGGTGGTCACTTTTTGTCTTTGTTATACTTCTTCAATGTGTTCATGATTATTGTGTGGTTTTGCATTGCAGGGGTAACTCCAAGTACCATTACTATGGAATCCGCATAAAACCAAGCTCTCCGCTCAATCAACTATCTGATCATGATTCCCAAGTGGCCATGAGACAGTCACCCTCCACCCAGAAAAGGTAGGTATCCTGTGTCTCAGATACGCTAGCATCTTATCGTAATGGGTTTTAGCAGCACATGTACCTCTCTAGTCCCTGGTTGTTCAAAAGTTGGGTAACACTGTCCAGTGGATATTTCACTATCTAGTGGATAAGTAGCCCGTGAACGGCAGATGTTTCTCCTCGCTCATCGCTGCTGAGGGACGCTTCGCAAGGAGGAACGTCTGCTACTCAGCGACAGAAATTCCATACTGATGACGTAAATCAATGTTTACTTAATATATCCGGTAGTCGTGGGGTTCCAAATGTAAATTTGCTCAATTTTACGTTTCTCATGGTTGATTTTGCGAAAGTGTTGTGTTCATCTGTGAATGAGCTCCAGCAAAACTCCAATGCTTCTTCTCGAGAAGACTATATTCCACAAACATTGACTGTTTTGTTAGAGATTCATCGCATTTACATTTGACCTTTACCGCCTTTTGTCTTTTGTCTGTCATTCGTAAATAATAGCTAGAACAATGAAACTACTCTGTGGACCAATGAGTGAGGAGAAACGTTTGCTGTTCGCTGGCTAGTGGATAAGTGTTACGGAGGTGTTATCCCCTGGAAATTGATTAACAAGTGGGTGGCACTATCCACCTTGTGGAAAATATGTTTGTTTTTTATCTGTTTCTGGGAAACTGCCCACCTACCCCTCCCCTAAGCCAACATTTATACTTACTTCTCACTTAGGGCAAAATGTTGGCTTAGGAGAGGGTAGGTGGGCAGTTTCCCAGAAACATATAATGATCCTTTTGGTGGATATTGGGGCTGAAAGGTATGGTTCGTACGGGGTATGCAAAACCTGGAAAGTTGGGAAATTTAAGAATTTCATTTTCAGGCCTGGAAAGTCATGGAAAATTAAGGCTTTACAGTCAAACCTAAGGTGGCTGTTATATTCAGGGTGAACACTATATACAGGGCCATTGGGCAAGTGAGCTTTAAAAGTTATTTGCCTGGCAAGAAAATCTACTTGTCCTGGAAAAGCAGATGGGAATTTTTTTGAACCCTGCACAGGATAGCAAAGTCAAGCTCATACTTGAAGGGTCACACTAAAAGATTTCCTACACAAAGTCAAAAGTCAGAGCTGCATAACCTGTCTCCATAATATATTTTATTGACACTGAAAGTAAAAGGTTAACTGCTATCGCTTTTATTTCCTTAGATTGAAGCCAGCTACAAGGTTGGAAGCATCAGAAGCAGGTGAATCAGCATCACAATCACAAGCTGTGTCAACAGACCAGCAGGCACAGCAGAACCAGATGCAGCAGCACCAGCAATACCTGGGTGACGTTACCCAAGGGCTGCCAGAATTTGATGAGCTGGACCTCAAGGATTGCCCTCTTCCAGGTTACGGTCGCTTAATTTGTACTTGTACATCTACAGAGTTTCATTAACTTTTTCATGACAGGGCTCTCATGCACCTTGAATAACCTTGAGATTAGTCCTTGAATTTCCAAATAAAAATGATTAGGCCTTCTAAGTCCTTCAAAGTACACTTCCATCTACAACTTGTGGGCCCCCAACTGTATAAAAAGTAGGCTAGTACTATCCAGTAGGTGAAGCTAATATTCCAAACAGCCAGGGCCACAGTCATTTATTGTACTTAAATTTATGGGCTTTCCTTATTGACCTGGTGTCATACCAGGGCCACAGTCATTGATTGTACTTTAATTTATGGGCTTTCCTTATCGACCAGGGGCCGGTTGCTCGAAGCCTGGTTAGCGCTAACTGTTGGTTAAGAGGTATCAAAATGTATAGGTTTCCATGGTATTTAACGCTGGTTAGCACTAACCATGCTTCGAGCAACCCGGGCCTAGGGCCGGTTGTTCGAAGCCTGGTTAGCGCTAAGAGGTATCAAAATGTATAGGTTTCCATGGTATTTAATGCTGGTTAGCACTAACCATGCTTCGAGCAACCCGGGCCTGGTGTCACATGTCAGTTTTTCAGGTGTATTAAACTCTATGCAGTGGATAACACAGTTGGTTTGCCTAATTTTACTGGAAAATGACTTTTCCATTGGATTAAGCGCTTTCCAACAGTTGAGCCCTGGCAATATCCACCTTTAAACTACTGGGACCAGGTGTGTTTTTACAGGGTCGGGTAAAATTTGAATCTTATCCTGCAGGCTCTAGCATGTCATCTACATGTACACTGTGACGGAGTTGTAACACTCCGTGGTGTATCATGTTATAATATTTGTAGAGGTATTTGAGCTTCCTATGGCCAGAATATCCCTTCATCAAGTCATACATATGGACATTAATATTTTAGTGTGTTTTTCTTATTACAGAGGGAATTACCGATCATGATCTTGACACTTTCGTTGACATGTACCGCGAGCATTGTGAGGTAGGCACAAATAAACTCTCCATTTTTTTGTTCTCTGTTATTATTTTCTGTATACTAGCTTACTCTTCAAAAGTAGGATTACATTTATTTTAGGTTACAGTTCTATGACTAAGGAGATGCAAGGTTGTTCTTTATTGATTTTTGTTTTGTTTGTATTGATTTGCACAGGCCTTTCTTGATGTTGTAGTCAATTTACAGTTCACACTGGTTGAGTCCTTGTGGCAGACGTTTTGGCGACATTCATCAACAGATACCAAATCTGGTTCTGGGGCAGAGGATGACGAAAGTAACCGAGATGGAGGGTAAGGATGTAGCCAGTTAAACTTTTTTTATTTCTAAAATTTTCAGCAGAAAAGTACAGTGTAGCTAGTGTACACTGTACGTTGTGTAGGCCACCTGAAAGTACTACGCGAAAGCCTTTTATTTAAATCACCACACAGTTCACAAAAAGATAAAACTAAATTAGTGCTATTTTTCTGTTTCATGCAAAGGTAAAAAATTCTAATGTTAAACAGACTTCAAACTCTCATATTTTTTGTTTGTGTTAAAAGGAAATAATTGAATATGTACATGTAAAAGAAAATAATAAGAAATTATTGGAGAAAGGGGCTTATGCAACCATAACATGTGAATATACATGCTGTTTTGCTCTCTTTATACAGTGATGATGGAGAGTATGAGAGTAGACTTTCGCAGTCCAAACTTGTGCAGCTGTGTGACTATGAACCAATAGTAACATTCGTCAAAGCCAGTGATCACCTTCTTTATCAAACTCTGGTGGAAATCCTCATTCCTGATGTGCTGCGACCAATTCCAGGTATGGTTTTGCCTTTTCAAATTTAAGCCTTGCTGCATATTTTTGTATAAGCAACCCATTTCATAAAAAGGATTAATATTATGGCTTCTTGCTTTTAGCTTCTCTGACACAGGCCGTGCGTAACTTTGCCAAGGGCCTCGAGGCTTGGCTTGTGAATAGCTTGGACCAAATCCCAAAGAAAATGTCAGATGTCAAAGTAAGTGTCACCTCATCAGTTACACGATTAATTATTAACTCTTTCTCTCTAAAACTCCCTGAGCTGTTTTTTTTTTAAATTTTTTTTGCTGCCACGATAAAGTTTTTAACCGGGTAGTAGTGATTTTTCACTTTAATTGACTATACACTGTAGAGGGGAAGAGGATTTGGGAACTATTATAACCAGGCCATGTATAACCAAACAGCAATATTTTTCCAATTTCAATGTCCGTTTACAGTGTATACAATGTATTAATAGTGAGCTTAAGCAATGAGAATGCTACAGCTTTAGCTCCGCGACATCATGCAACCTGAAGTTTGATGTCTTGCTTAATGATGGAACACTTTTGTCTCACACAACAAATCTGAATGCCCTTGGTTTAACTCCCGCTGTACAATTGTCGAGTCAGAGCACTGGAAGAGAGAAATATGAACTTCCGGTTGCCATTTCTCACGTCTGGGACATCAACGTTCTCATTGCTCAAGGTCCCTAATGTTCAATAAATTCTTTGCCTCTGCAGGTGTCAACATGTAGTGCATTTGCACAAACTCTGCGTCGTTATACCTCTTTGAACCACTTGGCCCAAGCTGCCCGGGCTGTGCTGCAGAATTCCTCTCAGATCACTCAGATGTTGACAGACCTGAACAGAGTGGACTTTGCCAATGTGCAAGTAAGACTTATATTTTTTTATGCTATTATAGAGACCTTTAGATTTGAGGAGGAGGACAACTACAAGGAACCTCAAGTATTCTCCAAGCTACAGTAGATCCCCCAGAAAGTCGTTGTTGCTGTCGACATTGTTGTGGTTTTAAGCCCCCTATTGAAGGAAGCTCAGCTCTGAGCCTGTGAATTCCATGATGGCCATGGCCTAGCTCGTGTTTTCTATATCTAGTTGGCTGGGAGCATACCTTAGGTACCAGGGGTCCCTGCGTGATGCTAGAGCACAACATCAACAGGGTTCTATCCAGGATTTATCTTTTTCCGAGTGGGGAAGCTAGGCATTTTGAGGGGAAGCTTCTACCCCTCAAATACCCTAGATAGAACCCTGGTTTGTGTGAGCTTGAGGAGTCAGCCTTACAAATGAAATGTATGATAACACGATTCAAATTGTAGGCCATTTCTAGCAAATCTGGGACCAAAAAGAACTCCTACAACAGGGGCAATTATCTTTTTATTTTTACTTTTTTATTATTGAAGCTTAAGTCAATACAATGCACAATATCAACAGAGAGAGACCCTCCAAAATTAAAATAAAGGTAATTCATACACAGGATGTTATTACTAATCAAAATTTAAAAAAAAAAAAAACACTAGCAAAATTCAACTAAACATGTCACACTTACGTGCAGTTAAAGGCTCAAGGATTTTTGAATGCTTGAAGGCTCTATGGATAACTTGTATTTCAGAAAAGCTTTAAAGGCTAGAAACTATATGGGTCACTTTCTTTGACAGGGGTGTAGGTGTGGAAATGAGCATCTGTCAGGCAGAGATTAAACGTATAGAAGGAATTTTTCTCAGGGAGATATCCTTAAATTTTATCATTATTGATCAAAGACACTAAGGGCGAGTTATTGTGATTCCATGAAGAGGTAAAAAGGTTCCAGAAGGAGACTGTGGACATGCTAGCATTCTACAAACAGACATAGGGTCTGTTGTTTTTGACCAACAATTTTAATTTCGGTTTAATTTCTTTTTCCAGGAGCAAGCATCATGGGTTTGCCAGTGTGATGACAGTATGGTGTATCGACTGGAGCAAGATTTCAAACTGACTCTCCAACAGCAGGTCTGATATCATATCCTCTGTTCTTTTTCTCAGACTGAGTACATTGTATTCTGCGCAGTTTAAAGATTGTTAATTCACACAAGGAACCAAGGAAAAAAGTGCTCTGTTTTTTAGAGTACGAGAGTCTGGAATATTCTTTTGACAATGATAGGAAAGGCCAAAATCATTGTTTTATACATGCAACCCTCTGTACAGACACTTTTCAAGCCACCATTTCAATTTGACAGGCCAGTAGATGACATGCTGTTTGATTGTGGTATTTTTCATTTCCCTCAATATAGTGGTTATCGGCTTAAAAATAATGTCATTTTCAATTTTTGCAGAACTCGCTTGAACAGTGGGCTAGCTGGCTGGAAAGTGTTGTAGATCAGGTTCTTAAACAACATCAGGGGACTAATGAATTTCCCAAGGCAGCCAGGCAGTTTCTTCTTAAGTGGTCATTTTACAGGTAACTACCATCAACTTGCATCAAATGAAAAGAAGTGATTTCCTGGTTTTATGAGATCTGTCAAGGGATCTTGAGAAAGAGCAAGATGAAAAATGCCTTCTAGCTACAAAAACGTTTTCTAGAAGTTAAACGGTGGGATATAAGCACTCTAATATGCAAATCCTTCTTAAATGGACCTAAATCATAACAATGAATCTGATGCAAGTAAAATTTAGAAGGATTTGTGTGTAGTCATTAGAGCATGATAGTACTCACAGTGGAACCCCGCTTTACAGCCATCTCGGTAATACGGTAACCTTGTTGTTACAGCCACTATTTTGTCCACCTGGCAAATCAGCCATACATTTTCTTGTTAACATGGTGACAAGTTAACACATGTACGGCCAGATTTTTTGGTCCATTGGTGACCGTATGAACGGGTTTCCAATTTATAATATTTTGCCACCAGGTTGCATTAACATGCTAGTAGTACTTTGACTTGGATCTTTTTCCTTCCAGTTACTTCTTCCTTCAGACTCAATGGTAAAGAAAAAATTGATTAAGATCAATTGATATTTGGAAAGAGGTTCTAATAGTTGACTGTTTTGTTTGCTCCTTTTAGCTCTATGATCATCCGTGACTTGACCTTGAGAAGTGCAGCCAGTTTTGGTTCATTCCATTTGATTAGGCTTCTGTATGATGAGTACATGTTTTACTTGGTGGAGCATAAGGTTGCTAAAGCAATTGGTGTGTCACCAATGGCTGTCATGGGAGAGGTGAGATTCTAACAGTGGAACTGTTTATCCCTTGGAGTGATTGGCGTGTTAAATCTCTTTTAACTACATGGGAAAACAGGAGATGATACTCAGGGTTATCAGAAAGTTTTGAAGTAGACAGCTGAGTTGTCAAAGTAAGCGGCCAGTCCAGGGATATTTTAGTTAAAAAATGCCATCCATAAAGAAACGCCAAGCGAAGTAGCCGGCCGATACTAACCAAGTAGGTGCCAGTTTTTGCCCACAGCCGGCTACTTTTGACAGCCCTGATACTCAGTGAAAAAGGTTATTGATTGTAATAACAAATTCTCCTTGCTAGTATCAGTGGCAAGGCTGTCCTCTAGCGGCACCCGGTTGCCTCTTGCGCCTAACTCTTGCTCCCAGGCAACTAGAAAATCTTAGTTCATTCATAGGAATCATTTGCTGGGCACCCTGGATTTCACAGGTTCAAAGTACTGGGCTCCCTTCAATTTACCTTAGAGCACAGCCTTGAGTGAGGAATGCATGCTGATGAATTATACTATAGTGATAAAATTATGTAAGGTTTGATTTGCTTCTTACATTAATGGTATCTTTTCCTCTTTTTAACAGTTTGTTGGGCTTGGCTCAGCGTTGTCCATGGGCCTGGATTCAGTAGACGGCAATTTACTGACAGAGCAAACTGACTTAGCATGTAAGTAAAAGCACTTATTGTAACCAACTTGAATTTTAAGAGGGGGAGCTTATACTTTTGGGTAATTCGGTTGTCAGTGGAATTTCCGGTGGCAGCTGTGGTGTGATAGTTTTGACTTGTCATGTAGTTGTAAAACTTGTAATACTTTTGTTTGTGTTGCGATTTCCTTTCAATGAAAAACAAATTGTGTTTGCCCATAGGAGTCCTCAGTCTTAACCTCCTGGTAGCTATTATGTATGCACTGCGGTTACATGTATGTAGCCAGCATTTGTTTGGACTCCCACTAAGAATGAATGAAAATGTATAGAATGCAATCTGATCATGCGCGGTTTGACCAGTATTTACATGTACCACTTGTAACCTGATCATGTATGGTTTGATTTTCTGATCACGTGAAAATGCACTTTATTTGAGTGTCAAAATATTTAACTAATGGGGACGATATTTTTATGTCTCGTAATGGAGACAAGACAGCAATTTTAGGAATTCACCTGAGCCACGCAAAGATCTGGCCTTTTACAGGGCAATTAAAGAAAGTACAGTCAAGCCTCTATTAAGCGGTCACCCTTGGGAATAAGCCAGGTGACCGCTTAATGGAGGTTGACCAGTTAATAGAAGTTTTCTAAAATTAAGCCCATAATAGATGAAGAAGTTGATGTAGAGGCCAATCTTTATCACTTTCTTTAAAATTAATTTATTGTTCACAACAACTGTAACGTGGGAAATGATAAAAGTGTTTGGATGTTCTGAGGAGTTCATGGTAAACAACAATTTTTATAGTAATGCTGTGCATAAGCAATTCCAAAACCTTATCCAGAGAGACGTGTATTTAACACCAAGATTACAATGACCTACAATGTTATGTTGCATTTTATGAGCTGTGAAAGAAACTAGGCAAGTGTCTCTTATCTTGTGTCACCAATATGTCTTTTATTGATTGTTTTGTAACAAGGTGACTTTTAACAGAGGTAAATAACAAAAATTTTAACCAATTGGGAAATCCAAACGTTGACTGCATTCACTTAATAGAGGGGACCATTGAATAGAGGTCACATTTGCAGTAAATATGGGAAGCAAATTGCGGGAAATTGATAGGTGACCGCTTAATAGAGGGTTGACTGTACTTTCATTTCTTAGTTTGTTTAAGACCCTAAGTATTGGTCCACCCTGATAATCTAACCCGCGACCTCCAGCTCTGCAGTCACGTGCTCTCCCAACTGAGCTAAACCTGCCACGGTGAAACTTACACAAGCATTAGAGCAAAAGCAATGTGACCTTGTATTGATCTTGCCAACATCCTTAACCTTCGTATATCAGTAGTTAGGCAGTAGGATTGATTAGTGACCAATCCTTTTTAAATCTTTTACTTGTAGATGGTTCCAAAGCTCCTGGGTCTGGTAGCTCTCCCACTAGGCCGTCAGGATCTGGGTCTCTGGAGCCAGAAGCTAAGCGACCCCGGCCAAGCTGAACTAACAGTAATATCTCACTTTGTAAATTAAGAACAGAAATATTTTATCCCCAAAATCTTTTGATGGTATAATTATTAATATGAAGTTAAAATGTTATTATAAAAGTAAACAAGAAACCATGTTTCACATATGTTTAGCTAACAGAGCTACATTTACCTTTTACTCATGAGAGTTAATGATCCTGCTCGTAAATTATTTATATTGTTATGATGTATGTAGTATACAAAGGGAGGATAAAAGTCAGATGAGCTAAAACCACAAACCAAAATAGGCCCTGTTTCCTGGAAAATCCCTGTAACATTAGTTTTAGTGACAGCACGGTGAGAAATATGAATTTTTAGACGTCTTATCTTTTCACTTGTGACAGAAAAAGAAAGAAACCGCAAATTTCTAAGCTACAAAAATTAAATCGAGGCCAGCGTTTGTAATGGAATCTCGATAAAATGAAAGTTAAAATAATGAACGATTTTCTTTACGCCAGTAACAGTAAAACGAATAAAAAAGAACCTCGATATACTCTAACGTAACCTTGCTATAGCAAACATATTTTTCCAGTCCCTTGGCCGTTCGTTATATTGAGGTTCCCTTGTCGATCGTTTTTACTTTCAGCGGCTATACAAATTTCTTGAAACAAAAGAAAGTTTTGCATAAGAAAAGAGTTAAATCACCACAGGAGTTCTTGGAACTCTAACATGGCCGTCATTTCATTATTTTCCTCTCCACGTTGTGTGTAAAAATAAGGGAGGTCAACATACATTTTCTCCCGACAATATCGTTACACAATCAAGACAAAAGGGTGTTGTGAAGATTAAGAAAATGATCACCTGAAAAAATTATTGATTTTACAACAAATTCTCTCGACTAATTGTATAAGGATATATAAGAATGAAGATCATTCTAGAGAATTTGTATGTGGATTGGGGCTTAATGAGTTTTAAAATTCATTTGTCGCCTCCTGGCAAAAGGTATTAATAAGGGGCTGCTGAATGCTGATAGAGAATGGCCCTGTACTTCCACAGAATTTCAGAGTAATGTTATTGGTTACAACTCAAAAAGTTAATTGAACTTAAATTTCTCTCCGTTGCTTTGCCAACAAAACTTTTGTGGGAATACCGAGGAAATAGGACCTAGGGAACGTGTTAACTCTCTTTCTCTTTATCATCTCTTCAGTAGATCTTATTGTAAACAGAAGAAATAGCCTTTTTGCAGTTGGGAATAGTAGGATACTTGGAATATTTGAAGTATGACAAACAGATGTCATAAGTGACATTTTGGCAAATGTTAATAAAAATCATCGTTAGAAGCTT